CGCGGATCAATGCTCGTACCCAGTCATAGTATTGTCCAGATTATGTATAGACCGCCGCCAAAAACCGGAATATTGCTGAGAGCGGTGTGAAACAACGACCAAACAAATATCAATCATAGCGTCAATCGCAAAACGTTTGGAGGCATAGATGCTATGTCTGTCAACGTTTGCACGACAAATACCTTCTCTTTGTGACGCATATCACATATGAACGGCATGACAAGTACAACAAAGTACACACACACACACACACACACACACACACACACACACACACACACAATACACACACACACACACACACACCTGCATGCGTGTCAGAAGCCGAGTTAACTTGATCATTTCACCATTTCACTAATATTTTTGAGAACCTATAAAACACCCGTTACGTGTCTTCCATCTTGCAGCATGTCCACTGGGGTTCTACAAAGCTAGCTACGGTTCCAGCCCATGTATGTCAGCGTGACTGAGAGGTCAAGGCACTATTACTACCGGGTCAGACACGTGTGTCTGTTCACCAAACTGGACAATGCGTCGGGGCAGATGTCGAGGTATGTTGGAACCAACAAACTTAATGGCAGCCTACACTACTAGGTCCACACAAATCCGCCAAAAGACATTTAGGGAGACTCCATATTGGATCGGGGACTCGCTAGTTTCAGTCGTTCACATAACTGTCATTACATGACCATCGTGAATATACATCCACCTTATACCTAATGCATGGATGCAATGCAGAATGGTATTGCGTGAAGTTAAGCGCTATAGTGAGTGAGTGAGTTCCGTTTTTACGCAACTAAGCAATATTCCAGCTATATGGCGGCGGTCTGTAAATAATCGAGTCTGGACAAGACAATCCAGTGATCAACAGCATGTGCATCGTTCTGCGCAATTGGGAACCGATGACATGTGTCAACCAAGCTGAGCCTGACCACCCGATCCCGTTAGTCGCCTCTTACGACAAGCGTGGGTTACTGAAGGTTCATTCTAACCCGGACCTTCACGGGTACTTTAAGCGCTATATAAGTGGCCTTAGCTATTATTATTCCCCAATCAGCCGGCATCTTGTACGAACTACGAGTATGCGAGGAGAATCGATCGGTAACTGTAACTAAAACAGTCCAATTATGCCAATATGACCACTCCTATGCAGCTCGTGGAATTATGTAAACCTGACCAGTCACGGGGGAGCGGTATGAGGGTAAGATCTGAGTGGATTAATTTTTTGCGAGTTATTGCTTCATCGGTTAATCGATATTACCAATTACATCTTTCCAAGACTTATACCAGTATCAAAAGATTAAGGGACAATGCCCGAATATTTAAACTTCAATAGCCGCTTTGGAATTGATTCTGGACAAAGACATCTTAAGACCGTAATATATACAGTCTTTCAGTATGTGCGGTAATTTTGGTTTCTTAAAATATCCCTAATAATTTGAAATTCAGCTTTCTTTCATTAAAAAGACGTAGGCAGGTCATATGAGGTATACATTTCAACAGTAAAAGTCATATAAATTCGAATTCTGTTTCAAGTAACTAATTACAGTCATAGATACTTGGTTTCAAAGACAAAGCAATTATTTTTCAGTCTGGAATACTGGTATATATCTCATCCAAGATGGCCATACGGCCATATTGTTGTCGTCGTAATTGTTGGCCATAAAATCTATAGTTTTTCAGTCTTCTCCCTAATGTTTTGTTTGTTATGAAAATATGTCTATATTTAAAAGGAATTCTTCTACGACAGTGATATTACCTTACTGGTTCATTTGAGATCACAGTCATCAGAGTCCGCATTCAAAACGGCATTAAAAACTCATCTTTTCAAAATTGCATTCTCAAAGCTACTCTAATCATCTGTGTACACTACTACACTGTAATTATTTCGAACTCCGTGTGTTTTCTCCTCTTAAGACTCTTTCTCACAACGCCGTAGAGCACCGCATGGTGGAAACAAGGCGCTATACAAAATTATGTGGAACATCAAGGTCTTGACAAAATGAAGCTGGTCAGTTTCTGCATTAAAGTATAATGATGGTTGATAGCCTGGATCCGGTTGTATCATTCCTTCATTAACTAATGTCAACATTAAACCCTAATGATACATTAAATCCTAAATGCATCATTAGTTAATGGCATCATTAAAAACGGTTTTATCAAACATTTATTAGCGTATCATTATCTAATGACGTCCTAATGTAAATGTTTTCATTAAATCCGGGGATTCCCAAATTTCTTCCCACAATTCCACGCTGTTAACATGTAATAGGGGCTAAACCCCTCGGAACAAAACAAACATTTCGACTGCTGTGAAGAAACACAGCTAAATAATTCTGAAACGTCGCCGATAAACCTAGAATCAGTTGGGATGTTTTGGAATATACGAACACGAACGCCGAAGTGGAGCTTTCCGTCATATTGGATAGTGTTTACAAAATCAAGAAGTTTCGCTAAAGCCAGTCATAGGACGCCTATAAAATCATGTATATTTCATATTCAGTTGTGACAAATGCATCGCTGAATTCCTCATACATTTTAGAATCAAATTTCAAATGGTCTTTGTCACTATAACCAAGTGTCTAAGAAAAACAGAAACATATTAAGATTGTGAAAACGGGACGTTGTGCTCATTACACAGCGCTTGCTAGAAATATAATCAAAGCAAAAGCAGATTTTATACTGTGCAGTAGCATTTCTCAATTTTTTAGACATCAGTTCGTTTATTCGCCCAGCATGCATGAGCTCAATATTTTTAGAATATGCACGGAAAGAGTATCGTAGCAAGAACTAGAAAACTTAAAACAGATACAATACTGGAAATTTGATACACATATTCATACGAAAGTTCTGCGAGACGCAAAATCATGGAGAACGACATAGGCAATAATCGGCATTTCTGGCTTTTTCAATGAAAACAATAAAAACAAACAACCATACGCAGATAGTCAGAATGTTTCCGATTACTTACATCATACATTTATGGACAAAGGTTCCCTCGCAAAATCATGGGCACCCATATCCACGAAGCCGCCATTTCATGAGAAATCGGTCATCGGTAGTGATGTCATACATCAACATTGTTGGACATATGTGGCAATTTCTTTGAGGTGAAGGTCGGTTGAATAAGAGTAAACACAATCACACTGTCCTGCGGATTACACTTGTATTATTAATGAATACTTTGTGTATCGTTCACATATGGTTTCATGAAACTAATTTCATTATCATCATTTAGTATTTTAAACCTAAGTAAAACTGACATAATAAATAAAAATGCTACAATGACTTAGTATGAAGCATACCTGAGTGAGGCCCCCTTATCTTTATAAGCGTGTGACCTTTATGTAGCCATTTGACGTCATAGGGGGAAATCCATTTTCAACACATATTGCGAGTCACTTTTAAGATTGAGTGTATAACGTTTTACATAAGCACACAAACTAATTTAATACATACCTATGTCATTCAGGTATCAGGCAGAATTTTGTTCACTCACACTTTCCGTAAAGATGCCAAATTAAAACTATAGTAGCACAGTACTTTTATCAGTGCACGATAAAAAGCAGAGAAATTTACTGTTTTTAACGCATAACAAAATTAGGAGTAACATTCAGCAGTGTCTACGTTTCAAACTGAGTTTATACCATGAGATAGGACATTCAATACTCTACATTTCTGTGTAATTTTATAGCTGTAGGTAGATCCAGTGCGGCGCAAACGAAATTCTGGCGCACTGTTCACTTTTCCAGGAAGTTTAATGACGCTCTAATGATACCCAGGATCTTCATTAAGTTAATGACGCACTAATGACAACAGAGCATCATTAAAACGTTAGTACAACAGAATTTAATGATACATTAGCCTAGTTAATGAACGTTTAATGGCACGTTAATGCTTCATTAAAAGTTTGATACAACCGGGTCCAGGTGTATAACCTTATTATTGTTGGTAACAATACAGTGAGTGAGCGAATTGGGTTTTACGCCACCCATTACATTCCAGCAATATCATGGTGGAGGATACCAGAAAATGAGCTTCACATATTGTACCCATGTGATGATTGGAACCGGGTCTTCGGCGTGACGAGCGAACGTTTTAACCACTAGACTAACCCACTCCTCCTATAAGCTTGACTTTGTCTGGAGTTTGTTTTGCAGTTCCCTGCATTGATCATCTAATTATATTGTAATGTTTCTTCAATGTAATCGTCAAATTCTATCCCCGATGTTTAAAGTGAGTGCCATAGCAGCCAATTCATCTTTGTCCAAAGAGACACATATGACATATACAGAAGAAAGTAACGATACACAGAATAGGCTTTTTGGCGTGTGTCATTTAACTGTCCAACGTTCAAGGCCTAACTGAATTCAAAACAAGTGGTGCAGGATACTTTAACGCCTCATTATTCATTAACATGTGGCCATGAAACGGTCGGAACCGTACAAAGGCACTGTGTTTAGTAGAGATTTCAAATGATAATGGACATTATTTATGTTGTTTCTATTTAAACGATCCCGAAGACACATCTAATCACTTTTCAAAATACCATAATTTTAGTATTAATCAGATTTACCTGCATCCCTGAATCAACACAATTTCGATAATGTTATTTTCTTATGTGATTCGGGGTGGTGGGGTAGTCTAATGGTTAAAGCGTCCGCCCGTCACGCTGAAAACCCGGTTTCGATTCCCCACATGGGTACAACGTGTGGAGCCCATTTTTGGTATCCCCCGCCTTTGAATATTGCTAAAAGCGGCGTAAAACTAAACTCAACACTTTTCTGTGATTCAGAGTACCGGGTGTCTTGTTGTCTGGATACGAATTTGAACTTACAATATAACGCAAACACCAGATGTCAACCCTATTTTGCCTTGTATACCCTATGGTTTAAGCCTATTACCATGACAGGGCATTCACTTTCAGTGGCGTATGTACTTTCTCAGTCTGCCCGAACACATATTTCATACAATATAATGACGAAAACCCTTGTTCCCAGAGTGCCCTGAAAACACGTACAAGTCCCAGTACGGGCTCCACGCATGCCTACCCTGTCAGGAGCACGCCTTCAGCCCAGAGGGCAGCACTGAACCGGAAATGTGTCAGTGTCTGGATGACGCAGGCAGACCGATAAAGGACATCACCACGTGCAAGGCGCCAGTACGGCCATACAGAGTCACAGGTAATACTTTCTGTTTCTGTATTACACTGATCAATGCTGTAGTATTCCTGTATGTTGAGGTGGGGTAGCCTAGTGGTTTAAGTGTTCGCTCGATACGCCGAAAACCGGGTTCGATTCCTCACATGGGTGAATGTGTGAAGCCCATTTCTGTTGTCCCCAGCCGTGATATTGCTGGAATAATGCTAAAAGCGGCGTAAAACCATACTCACTACTAGTATTCTTGTACAAACATTATACATTATATATATGTATATTGATAATACCCATGATTCAACACGACCTTGTTTGATCAAAGCGCTATATAAATATTGATTGATCAATGGGTCAGTGTGTATATATGAATACAACCAAATGTGCCCATGAGGCGCTAGAAGGTATACTTAGAAATCAGATTGCCATCTCCACTTTCCGGTATCCATTGACAGCTGGGTGAACAGAGGCTAAAGTCACTTGTCTCGAGAGACACCACCTACAACATTGACAAACACTGTCAAATAGAGCTGATAAAATCTGCCCTTGGACTGGAGAAGTGTCAATAAGCTAATGGATTGTGATTGCGGAGAGAAATACCAAGTCAGGTTTTACAAGGCCATGCATACATCGTTTTAAATATGACAAGGAAAAGCAAATAAAAAATACTATGATGACATGTGTTACAGAAATGGGTTTTACTGTGCGCTTCAAGGTATTTACAATAATGACTGGAAACAATGAGCGCCGGATATGCCATCTTGACCAAATTAGTGGCAGTAAGGTAGCCGACAAAGTGTTCCGACATCACCCCAAAGGCCGGAGATCGACTCCCAAAAAGGAAACACACATCCACGTGTTATTTAACAGATGGTGGCAATTTTGTCATCGCTAGACCGGGTCGGTGGGAAAGCCTTGCAGTTAGGTCGCTCATCAGGTGAACGCCCGAGTTCGATTCCCCACGTGGGTACTGTGTGTAAAGCTCATTTCGGGTGTCCCCCGCGGTGATATTACTGGAGTATTTCTAAAAGTGGCGTAAACCCAAACTCACTCACTCACTCATGTCAACATGAATGTTTGTCATGACGGAGACCGGATGCAATTACCCACTTGAAGGTGTGCACGTTTCTTCTCTACAATATTGCCAAACGAGACGGAAACCATTCTCAATCATTGACTCAATTAACCGTCTAGATAAAGATCATGATGTGATCGAGACCTACAGCTGAAACACCTGCAACATTCTCGTAATTAGATGTCAGCTACAGACAAAAGAGATCCTTTGCCTCCTTAACGTTAAGACTCTTTGAAGACTGATGCCAAAGCCTATCTCTGAAAGAACATAGGTGATCAATTCCTTCTGTGAGCATCAATAGCTTCTGGCAATGTGTAATCTTTTTACATGTCACGCGCATGTCGTATTGGCTTTAAAGGTTTTGGCACTGATCTTAACATGTGATATAGGCGGATTAGTCTCTGAATTAACTTTAAAATATGACCACTGCATAGCATAAAAGGAAGGAAGTTCAGGATCTGGAATAATCTCTTAATTATGACATTAACATAAACTGACGTTCAAAAAGAAAGTACACACCTAAACTTTTGTTCACCGTACATGAAGCTCGTTTCAATTCATCAAGATTTGCACTGAAAATAGATCTCACAAAGGCAACTATAAAGGGTAAAATGTTCAAAATGCAGCCATATGTGTGGCTGCACGTGCAACACGAGATTTGTGGAAATTGTGATCATTCCCTCTTGCACATGCAATCAACTTGTAAACGGGTATAAAGACACTCATCCCAATGCTGATATGGCAGACGACAATAAACACGAAGAAAATGCCAAGACTAACACCGGCGCAAAGAGAGAGCCATTGGTATGTCACAGATGGGGGGCGTCCAACAGTCATATTGCAAGGACCTTCCAGTGCACAAGACAAACCATAATCAGACTGTTCCGGACGTGTTCAGCAGACCAGGCCAGACAGCTGACCGACCCCGAACTGGACGTCCGAGAGTCACTACACCACAAGATGACCAGCACCTGCGGACAATCCACTTACGCAATCGAATGTTGACTGCAACGTCATCAGCAGCGACAGCATTAGGTCACCACATCAGCAGGTACACGGTGATGAGGCGACTCCGTGCTGCTGGTATCCCGGCCTGTCGACCTTTCCGTGGCATGTCGCTTGACGCCTCTACATCGTAGGAACCGTTTACAGTGGACAAAGGACTGTGCATCGGTGGCAACGTCGTAACTGGGTGCGTGTTCTCTTCGGTGATGAGAGGCAGATTCAAACTGTTTCATGCTGACGGTAGAATAAGGGTATATCGGCGTCAGGGAGAGACGGTTGGCACCAAACTGTATACAAGATGTTCACCTTTGGTGGCGGCGGTGTTATGGTATGGGGGAGCAGTTTGTGGTGATCAGAAGACACGTTTAGTGACGAATTCATGGCAATCTGAATGCCCAGCGATACTGTGATGAAGTGTTGCGACCTGTTGTATTGCCTTTCATGCGACAACATCATGGAATTATTTTCCTGCATGATAACGCCATACCCCACGCAGCCAGGATCACCACAGACTTTCTCCAACACCATAATATTGATGTATTGCCATGGCCCGCTCGTTCACCTGACCTCAACCCGATTGAACATCTATGGGACCATCTCGGAAGACAATTCCGACTTCGGCAACAGCAGCCCGTTAATGTACGACAGCTTGAAAATGCTCTCCGTGAGGAATGGGCAAGAATTCCGAAATGACGTCATCAGGCGACTTACGTTTTCCACGAGGAGACGAGTACAGGCTTGCATTGATGCCCGTGGAGGCCATACAAGATACTGAATGTGATACCTGTTTTTGTGACATTTGGGTGTCTGGTAATCAACACTGAACTTTTCATCTGCAATAATGAAATGTGTCATTTGGACCCGTGCATGTTTGACAGTACCATAAGGCAATAATGTTCACGCTTAAAGTTTCATTTTATTGTGAGGAGTTCTGTTTGACCATGTGCCTCAATAAACACATGAAATTATCTTTAAAAAAAATGTTGATTTTGTGCTATTTGACCAAATCTTTGCCTGTGTACCTTCTTTTGAACGCCAGTTTAATTGCTCAAAACCGACAGGTCCCCATGTCATTAGGCTCTCAACCCACACATCACGGCAACAACCATTAGTGATACAAGGATAGTTGGGAAAACAGCTTCCGATAATATTCATTCAATGAGTGTTCGTAACAGGGACACTAAACCTACTTGCAATTGACTTACAGACTGGTCATTTCTTTTAGGGAAGGGGTCTAATTGTGCTTCCGGGTTTTTATAGAGACATAAAATATTTTTGTTGGAAATTTACAAAAGCAGTTTGGACTAGTCATATACTGATGTGACGGAAATGGTATCATGAATAAATGTTACATAAAAGTCAGAATGAGTGATTTTAGTTTTAGTTAGTACAATTTTATGCCTTGTACCAACGATGACCCCTACCTCCCCAGAACAAGATGGGTGCCACCCACCTACCCCACCCTCCCCGACAAAATCATCATCATCCGCACATTCCACCCCACCCCCACCCATAAATTATGAACGTTCCCTTATAGCAGTATCTATTGCATACTCAGTGAAGAGTGAGTGAGTGAGTATGGTTTTACGCCGCTTTTAGCAATATTCCAGCAATATCATGGTGGGGGACACCAGAAATGGGCTTCACATATTGTGCCCATGTGGGGATTCGAACCCGGGTCCTCGGCGTGACGAGAGGACGCTTTAACCACTAGGCTACCCAACCGCCCCTACTCAATGAAGAAAACCAACACGTCCCGAAACAAGACGCGTGGACGCTTTTAGGTCCAATTCATACGATCTTATCATCTGTTCCGACAAGTTAGTTCAGGCAAAGTTATATCGACCTTAGCTATGGATGTACATTGTGGGACCTTTGCGATGTTCATTCCGTTAGAATGGTCAATGATGTGATCAAGGGACATTTCTGACCTTGTCTATCGGACAAATTATTGATGTTCACGTGATTGTGGACAGCATGTGTTGACCATCTCACGTTAGACAACGTGTTTAATAATGTATGGGACGGACGGAAATCGAAAGTGGAAATGAACGAATATAAATACTAACAGTGTGTTGTTTACTGTGCTCATCAATAGCAACGATGTTCTAATATACCAAAAGGATTTCAACAACATCTTTATGTTTCGTCATTGAAAATATATGCTGGATGCATCTATGTAAGATGTTTGTTTTAGAGAAATATGTAAATATACATCTAAGTATTGATAGAGATATAATTATATTGATGTTGCCCAATCACAATAGCTTATTTTTAAAGGCAGTTCTTTAGATTTTCTTTCGTCGAAAGTAAACACTCCTAGCGTAGGATTTTAATATGTATTTTTATGTTATTGGACATAATATTTATATAGCAGATGATCAAACATTCTTAAAGGTGCATTATTAAGTTTGAGTTTAACGGTTGGGCGTGCTAATTAGGGAGTAATAGTAATCTCTTCTTATCGTCAAGTACTTATTTTTACAAAGCCTCTGGGACAAAAAATTTACGTGAGCAAAGGAAACAACATATGGTTCCATACAAAATATTTCTTACACATGTGGGGCTTATAGGAAAAGTATATTCAACAGTCTAGGTTTTAGGTCGAGATGATTATGTATCGTGGTTGTCCTGAACGGTAGGGTCTGCTGTAAAGGATGACTGCAGTAATGATGTCTTTAATCTCATCGAATTCGGGTCCGACTTTAAACACACACGCCATAGCATACATTAAACAGATAAACGTAAAAGTATCCTGTATGAACTCCGAGTATCCTGTATGAACTCCGAGTATCCTGTATGAGTTCCGTATGAGTATCCTGTATGAGTTCCATGTATCCGGTATGAGCTCCGGAGTATCCTGTATGAGTTCCGATTATCCTGTATGAGTTCCGAGTATATCAGTATGAGTTCCGATTATCCTGTATGAGTTCCGAGTATCCTGTATGAG